TCATCATCATCATCATCATCATCATCATCATCATCATCATCATCATCATCATCATCATCATAATCGCACAATGCCCAATAAGGGTTAGGAGGCGTGTTGCAATGACGCAATTTTTTTTTTTTTTAATCTTCTCTTCTGAAAGCAATTTCTTGTTTAGTATTAGAGAAGAAATCATTGTTTCAGAATAAATTTTTAAATTCTCAAGAATAATAAGGCAATAATGTACAAATAAATGCCCATGACAGTTTCCCCCATGAGAGGGAAGAGAGATACATCATTCTCATCCTCCTGGATGGAATTACCAAATAAAATATTTTCTTTGATGTTTGAGGGAAAAAACACTTTTTGAGAAGAAAGCTACGAGGAAATTTATTTTGATCAAGTTTTACACTTTTAAGTAACCAGAAAACAAACAAAATTGCAAACTCAAAAACGTTTATTAACTGAAAATAAATTTCAATTAATAATTATAGGCATTTTTTCAAACATAACCATTTATAAAGAAACATATTAAAGCTTTATGCAAAATAGAAAGCCTATAACAAGTGATAAATTTCACAAGGCAGAGAGTGCAAATCGGTACATCTAGCACTAGGGCAAGATAATTATATAAAATCTCTCTATCTCAGTTTCATAAGTCATTATTCAAAATAAAAGAAACATCATGGCTGCACTCTTCAATAACCCTTTTACTCTTGAGTTAACTGTGAGGCCTGCCCACTGATGTCACAATCCACAGTGCAACAGGCTACACTGAACACTCTTTGCAGCTTACAAAACATACAAATATTAAATTTTAATAGGAAGAACCTATTGAGTTTATTTTCAGAATATTTAAAGAGAAGTGAACAGAATAATTTATTATTTTATTTAAGAAAAGCATGTCAGATATTGCCACTCAAGACCAAATTTTGTACTACATTAATACACATACTAAACAAATGAATTGCCAATTAGGGTGGATGAGTTTGATAAGGCAGTAGTTCTGATCTCAGGCTTAAGGATTGTGGGTTCGTCCTGCCTCGGGGATGTTTGTACTTGTGTTTGTCCTTTCATCACCACCCTATCACTTCATTCAGGGCAAAATTAGTAATCTCCACAAAAAAGGCAGGAGGCCCATACCCTTAGTGAGATCTTAGTTTGCTAGTTACAGTGCCCTACGAATAGTCAAAGTACTAATGTAAAAATATTTTCTCATTTATTAGTCTTGGTTAAGTAATATTATAGTAATATTGCAGCTGCTATCCTACTAACACTTCAGCCTTCTCTGGAAACACCTAATCAAACAAAGTGCAATAGATTCACAAAAATTCATACACCTAGGTTTACAAAGCAAGAATCTTACTCCTGTATTCCCTTAATCAACACCTCATAACATTTTTACGCATGGATGATGTATTTTGTATGCATGGATGATGAAATCCAGATGTGTTAAAAAATTGCTAGGGCAACAGAATATGAAAAGTTACTTTTTAGATGGTAAAAAAGATTTGTTTAGGAAATAAAATAAAGGCAAAAGAGGAAACAAAAGATTTAATGAACCAATGATTAGTCAATTACAATGTAGATTATAAGGCTTTTAGGTACATAAACAGAAGAATTGATGCATAATGGCAAAGAAGAAACATGATTAGGTTTGTATTATGCACATTCATTTAATGTTTTCTCGAGTTGAAACCAGCGGCTTAGAACTCGAAACTAAGTAGCAAGCATGCTGATACACTATGTCATTACTGGGAGTGGGAAGAAAGAAGAAAGAAATGTGGCATATTTTTCATGAGACACATCTACTATTTTATAAGTGACATGATCTTATTTATAGTTTGTTTTGACAGTCGAATGAACCAAGTAGTGAACCCAGAAAGAAGAAAATGTTTGTACTTGTTATTACAAAACACAAAGTGCATTTAAAGGAAGGTCATTGTTTAAGATAAAACTGTGTCACTAAGACAAAAGGGAAGTAATTTAAAATATAATGAAGGAAAATACAAGTAAGGTGATATGAAGAAATTATGAAATGTTTGAAAGTTGCCCATTTTAAAAATCTTAAATTACTGTATCTGTTTGATTGTTGTTATTTCTGTTATTATTGTTATTTATTTCCCCATCATTCATTTTCAATTTCAATAACAATTTGAGTGCGCAAGATCATCAACTCACCTGATTCGTTCAGTGAAACAATCCTAAGTGATCATAATGATTCTGCCAAAAATTGACCCAAAATAGAGATGGCTACTTAATAAAGGATATGAGAATAAAGGAAGTGTACATCAGTGTACATCATGACTAATCATGTTAACTTCTGTAATATAAGATATGTTTTTGGTAAAATAATTTCAATTACTTTAATCTTCAAAACATAACTTAAACAAAACAACATACACTTGAATTATAAGGAACAGGCAAATCATGAATTGTATCTTGATTTTAGCTCGAAAAGTTTTGAAACTTCACAAACTTTGACCCTCTTTAAAGCAACAGGGCAGAAATAACCATAATTTTTATGTTTACCCAACATAAGTCAATTCTGAATGACCTCGAAACTCAAAATATGAAGAGGCCTCCTGAGAATTATTTTTTTACACTAATCCTTACCAGCCTTAAAATAATCAATTGACCAGAAAGTAGTCTTGCTGATAATAATGCTAAAGCTTATTGCCCGAGTTATCACTAAATTGTCTTGTTCCTTAAAATCATAACCATGGTCTGTCACTACCATTATCTTTATTTTCACATACGTCACCGGTTCTTACTTTTATTTCTCCCTTACTGCTTCGCCCTCTAATGTTTTAGACTCCCCTGAAAGTTCTGCATGTTGAATTTGGGTTTGTCTTTCATCTTATGCCACCCCTCTGTATTACCAGATTTTCTTCCCGTCACACCTCATGGTCATGGCCTCTATTTCTCTAACAGAATTTACTTCACATTTCCATCATTAAATCTACATTTGACGAGTAACGAGGGAGCGAGCAGTAAGTTTCTCAGTTCGGTAAGTTTTTTCTACGAAATGTTTTCTTATTATTCACCAAACTTTTAATTTTTGATGATTCAATATAGTCCATGAAACAGGCAAGAATATAAACAATAGCTTCAATGGGGGTAGATTTACCTTTGAGCAATTTCAGAATAATACTATTTAAATTCCATTTTTTACATATTTATTAAGAGTAGTGTCTCGATATGTGATTTATTTCAGAACAAATTTCAACAAAATTTAGATCTTTCCAATTAAAACACATTGCTGCATTCATTACTAATTCCTCAGCCGGCTATCATGACCGATATGATTACTTTTGCAATGAATTCACAAGTTTGTAAGATGTGTAACAAACATCAATGTGGCACTAAATCATATACCATATCTTTATATTCCACATCAGACAATGATTTTTCCTCAAAATTAGAATTCAACAATAAGTCCTTCATTTCACCTAAAGTTCCATTTGGCCAACTCATTTTCACCAACCCTAGCCCAACCACACATCAGAACACATGGACTCACAATACTACACAAAACTTCACATAATAAAGAAACAACTGAGAAGAGTAGTTTACATCTAGTAGAGAATTTCATGAGCAGAGAGTTTGAGGTATTTTGAATAAGAGGTGTGGCAAAAGAACTGGTATTTCTACTTACAGCAGTTGAAGCAAAGAAAAACCAAACGCTACTGTAGTGTCTCAAAGAAGGCAGGATGCAAACAAATAAAGTGCCCTACAGTATCAGAGGTAAGGCAGGTTGCAAGTATCAAAAGTGGCTCACACCACAGACAGCATGAAATGTAAAGCCACTATAGTGGTGAAAAGGTTAATACATTTATTTTAGCATATCCAAACAATTTGAAGAACAGATAAAGCTAAGAACTAGGATCATCATTTCTCTGTGATAATCGCACATAAAAGAACTTTCACAGATATTCTTTTATTAATACAAACACTAACATTCTTCTCGTAACTGAAGTTTCTGTTTAATAATAAAAGATCCAGAAAACTATGATTCAACATTTCGCTAAAGCTCTTGATAAAAGTTAATTATTGACTGAAATATTTTCCTCATAAAATTTAGCTGAATGTGCAAGATGGCAAGAGGATTCGCAGGACACATTGTAACATGTGATCAAAACAATTTTATTATATTTGCTTTGTATAGAGCCATGGTTCTTAACTTTACATTACTGTTATGAATATTGAACATTGGGATTAGAAAGTAAATATGCATTGTACATTCATACTTGGGGAATTTATTGCAACACCACAGCATTCACTCAGCAGAATTAATTCACAATAGTTATTTTTGTGAGATATAGTGAAACTGGAGGGCAGAATGAGATAATAGAGTGGAAAAGGACTGCTCTCCTCGTTTAGCTCATTAGCCTCGTTAAGTGCCAAACACTCAGTTAGATAAAAATTAAAGTTAAAACACTCATTTTGTAACAAATTTTCTATACTTTAATTTTATATGTAAAAGTCTTTTCAATAAAACTCAGTTATTAATATTAGGCAAAAAACTGGGGGGAAAAACACGCAAAATGTTTATGTTTTTTGGCAATTTCCTCTGGGCAGCCAAATTTCTCAAGTTAATAAACTTCAAATTTAATACCACAAAACACACAGACAATGAGGGGAAAAAAACTTCTGGAATTTTTTCCTGGACAAGATACCCATTTCCTTACCATGAATCTTCTTGATGGTTAAATATGGCCCATAACACAATGAAAAGAATAGACAAACATCCAAAACTGATGTTAATCTGAGAGCGATCACATAGGCGGTATTATTACAGCCTTTGAAACTAAAACAGTGTTGCACCTTGATGTTCAACTCAACATGGTGGGAAACCAGGTATTCTCTAGTTATCTATTGAGGCACAAGATAGCAGTAAGTCTTCTCCAAAACCTACTCACATTTGTGCCAAATTCCTGCTAAGTGACCAGTGTCATCAATCTTTTCTCTACGCAGCATAAAACATTGCCACGCGATCATGCCTGTTCCAGTTTGTTTGTTTTCTTTCGCATGTGCGATGATTATGTTGGTATATTTTTCATGTATATTTGTAATAAAAATGTCATTATAATTCTCTTATGAAAATTATTGCATAAATTTAATGAATTAGTTATTCATTACATGTAATTTGTAGATGATTATAGTAATCTAGATACTTCATTCTTACTACTCCCATTTCATTATAATATTTATTACCTACACAGTCTTTTCCTCCTCATTACAATTTTCATCTTATTAGATTTTTACCTTCCAACTCCATTAGATTTTAATTTAGATTTTTATTATGTCATTATTAGATTGTGCCCAGTTGTTTTGTGTCTATTTGTGCACAGTGTTTTGTGAAGCCAAACAGAAGATTTTCAGATATTTCAGATTATCTCCTACAGAAATTTCTTTTTCAGACTACAATTAAAATTTACACGCAGACTTACGCGGCTCGAGTTCATGACTTGCAAAACGTTCGCCTCTCAGCCAACAATGCGGTGCCACCCAGACAGCCAAGAAGTCAATAATTAAAATTGTTTCAATACTTCTTTTTCTAATACAATGCTCACTTGATGTTATTTAATGAATTCCCTACAACTGACGATTAAGAGAAGCTGTAATATTGCAAAAAGGAAAGAATGTTCGTCGGTGACAAAAATACTACCATGCGATCACACATGTGACACTAAATTGTGTGAATGCCTGCAGGTTAAATCGGAAAAAAATGACCTTAATGGAAAAAATTTGCATATGAGCTTACCTTATTGTCCAAATCAAAAAGATAAGAGTCATCTTCTCGATGATCAGCCTCACAGTCAGATATAACTTCACCAATATACCTGTAATATAATAGTAGAAAATTTTAAAAAAGGGTCAATATTTGAAACCTACTTAAAAAGACTCTTTTAAAGAAGAGACATTAATAGAGAAACAATAAGTTTTTTACTCACTCGCACACATACGTTCCTTTCAGAATGGGCTGCAATGTACGTACTCCCCATCCTTTACTACGAGTGCGAAACAACTGAAATCGAGCTGTCAGTCCACTTTGTACAACTCTGTTGTTGCATGTCACACAATTGCAGGCACACGCCTGATTGCATTCAAAAAGCATTGGAGGATCTATGAAAAATGAACCAAGACAATGTTTTCAACTACCATACATCAAAGTACATTAAGTTTACACACAAAGAAGGCCACAATTAAAGCCAAAAAATTGGTGCCAAGAGGTCTGAAGAAAGGATATCTCTGCAAATATAAACGAGTACGGGAAATCCAGAAAGTTTGCCCATTGTGAAGCATGGTCCTAAGAACCAAAAGATACTCTTAAAAATCATACATATCCAAGATAAAGCTGGGCACTGAATACTTTCAACATTACTAGACACATTACCTACTGTCATTACTTGGCACTTCCAATGACACTTAAAAAAGAAACATTCTCACCTGCATAATTAAAATCTGATGACAGCCTCCCATCATCATCATACCAACATCTTAAGCTGATGTTACCACAAAGACAACTTTTAGTTGAGCAAGTATCTTCACAACGACATGCTTGAAGAGATGTTATGGTACGACTAACAAATATATTTGACGTGAAACAATTTTCACTCACATACATGTAATCACGTGGTTCACCTTCACTGTCTTCATTATTTACACACTGAATTGGATTTGTTTCTTTTCCTCTGGATATGTCACTAAAAAGAAAGATTTAATTTTTGCATTTTGACCATTCAACAACACAAATTCCAAAACACAGACAAATACATAAAGAATAGTACATTCAAATAATTAACTTAATTATAAAAAGAAATAAAACACAATTTTACCAAAAGTTCAAAAGATCAACTAAAAAATAAAGGCTCCAAAAGTAACCAAAGGTGTTACAGGCTAAAGGTGCACACATTTTCCTTTACAAGTTAGTTTCCTACCAGTTTAGTCTGGGTTTACCTTTTCATTTTTGCCCCACCCTCTTCCCAGCTGCAATCTATTGGTGTCTAAAAGACATTTTTTCACGTTTTCTCTTAACAGTAGAATTGAAAAGTGACTTTAAGAAAATTACAGAAGAGTAAAATCTGGTCTAACAGGCAAATTTCTGTTCCAAAATTTTGACCCGTTTTTGAGAAAATGCCAATTGAGTGTTTCTGAAATGCCCAACGAAACTTTTGAGTTTTTCAGAAACATCATAGGTAATCATTTGAAGCACTTCTCACAAATGGAATAATGTTATTAATGGTATTAAAACAAATCCATAATGCAAATAATAAAAAACATGAGATGTATTTCATATTATTACTGAAAAAGTCAAAACAACAAATCAAAATTGGTTTAATGTGATGGTATTCAGTGTAATTAGCCTTATGTGTTAAAAAATGTTGAAGAAAATTGAGCCGTTTTCATGTTTTCCTGAAAATTTTAAGTTTATTTCATGCAAAACTTTTGAGTTTTCAAGAAATTTCATACAACATAATTTGAAACACTTTTACTCACAAATGCAAAAATGTGAGTATGGGGATGTGGTTCAATAATGCAATGCAATGTAATGTGAATATATACCAACAATAATGTAAATATTAACATGAGAGATTACAAAACAATTTTTGCAATTTTCAAAAATTCAGAGTAAACAGTGAAAACTGAACCTATGACTTTTTTTTATTTCTTTTTTGGTGTACTTCACATTGATCTTACAAACAATTGACAGAAAAAATTTGGGGTATTTCAAAAAAATTTTTTGAAAATGTCCTAGGAGCTTCAAATAAAGTCCTCTTTATTATTTACACACTGGATAGGAAAATTCAAAGAATTATTTTCAAAACCACAGGGCTTCAAGATAGACCAGATCAATGACAGATTTCTCCTCTCGGCAGAAATCCTAGGCACCATTCAGGCATCAGTGATGTTCACAGATGGACGGATGGACATTTTTTTTTTTTTTTTTTTTTTTTTTTTTTTTTTTTTTTTTTTTTTTTTCCGGTATTTTTGGGATCAATGGATCCCAAACCATGTATTTCAGTCGAAATTTCAAAATTAATTTTCCACAGCATTACATAACTTGGAATATCATGGAAAGAAATTGATAATAGTTTAAAATATTTAAAACCTAGAAATCATTTAAAATACTAAAACATCATTAATTAACTCAAACAAAGCAGCTAAGAGTAGAGAAACAAGAGTAGAGTTGTTTCTAGATATTTGGTTATATCTTTATAGAGAAAAATGTTACTGCCAAATTTGATCCTGTATAGTACATAGAAAGACTGTACTTCCTGATAGTACATAAGATTTTTCTGACATATATCTCGACAAAACTATGTAATTACACATTATGGATCCCACGATTTATCTGCCATATCTGTGTCTATCTGCCAAAAACATTGCAAATACTGTTCCCAAATCAAGATGCTCCCCTAAATATTTCATTCAAAAAATATGACATTATCTTAGATTCGCTAATTGTGCCAACAAGTAAGAATCATTTTTGTGCATTGCCTTTCCACTTCAAGAAACTTGAATCTAGAGGCATCAATAAGTTACAAGAAGATAAATGTCATGCGCACCTATAACGTTTACTATACGTGGATAACATTCACAGGTGTATTCTTGATATCCACTTTAAATTTGCCAGATAATACAGACCAATATTTTGGAATGGGCTGGGAAAGAGAGAATCACAAATAAAAGGCATTGCGGTAATTGAGACACAATGTAAAAATAATAAAAATAGTCATTGAGCGTGCAAACTCTGAGTTGAGATTCAATAGTTCTGAGCATGCAAACTCTTAGTCCAATACCCAGTGAGTGCAAATTATCATTTTGCAAGATGTGGAAAAGAAAAAATCCATTTTGATAGAAGAACATATACTACATCCAACAATGGAAAAGGATGATAAGATATTTTCCTAACAAAAACTCCTGAAACGCAAACATAAAACGATGCGAATTTCAAGTATATGCTGTTAAAGAAAGCAGAAGAACTGTTAACAAATCAGAAAATATGACCACAGCACCACAGTAAAAAAATTTGGTGATTCAGAAGGGAAATATTTTTTTTCCTCACCTATAAACACAACGCGTCTCCTAGCTCCTAAGAGCATTGAATGCACCTTGGAGTAATCCCCCATTAATTGCTATTACAAAGGAGTAATTCTCCTTTATTATACACTCAGCATCCTCTAGGGGCCGCTGGGTAGTGAAATCAGGTATTCACTGATAGGTAGCGTCTTTGCGCCCATGTCTCGCACGCGCCTTGTGTCATCTCCATATCGGCCAGAATTGGGAAGGAATAAGGATAGGGGTAAGGTTTAGGATGCTTCACAAGGGTTGGACTAGCCCCTGTGAAGCATACCAACTCTTTTTGTCGTAACCAATTTCACATTAGGTTTTTCAGGGATTCTACAGAAATCTAACCCAGAACCTCAGTGGTGAAATGCGAGTAACTTTACTAATGCTCTTAAATGGCATCAGATGAAAGAAGTACATAAATTAAAAGCGCAAAACTTTCAGGGGTGCCTAAAAAGTCACAGGACAATTCAGTATGGGAGACGCAAAAAGAAAGTGATGAATGCAATGATTAATATGGTGATGACAAATTATTATAATGATTATAAGGAACAAGAAAATTGTGACAGCTCAGACAATAAGTTTTAACATTCTAATGAACAAGGCGATTTACTAGGCAATTTGCAATTTTATTTTGACTAAAAGGTGAGAACTGGTTAAGAATTTTAAAAAAACTCTTGGGAAGCCTCATTGTACTTAGGAGATCATCTTAATCTGAGTCAACTTACATTGAGATTCATTTCGTACTTTCCAAAATTTATCCACTCACTTCAAATAAAATGTAAAATAAAGAAGGTAACTAAAACTAATGTCAGGTAATAAAGTTCTCTTTGTGCTTTTAAATGGTAATACCATTTCATAGACCATAAGAAGAAAAAACTGGCGCTGCTCGAAATTCTTTTTCATATTATTGGTAATGGTTATATTGCACTTTCCATTCTCTTATACTAATACTTCAGACATCGCTTGAGAAATGTATAATTTTTTTTCTGAAAATTATGTTGAACTACTCAAATATTGCACAAGTGTACACAACATCAATTGATAATCAAATTCAGAATAAAAGATGTCATTAAGAAAAAATCCCTTTTCAATATTGTACAAGGTAACAAGTTGTAGGAGAACTCTGAAAAAATTTTAACTTTTGCAACTCAGAGATTTCAGCGAAATTCAGATTTGTGTAATTTATATGAGCATTGATATATTTGAAAAGAAAAAAATTAATAAAAATCTTTGGAGCCATTTTTCAGAAAATTTTAAAAATTTTGAGCAGCCCCATAAATCAATATATCTGTTTCAAATTTATGGAGTCATGACATCAACCAGATCCATCACGGAATACCAAGTTTGGTGAAGATACCATGAATGGTTTAGGATTAGTGTTTACACTAACAGACAGTTGGTCTGACTGATGTTCACAGAAAAGAAAAAGAAAATACACTTGGGGATCCCAAAATGTGACTTATCTGTAAAAATCATATCTATATCTTTCTATTATATAATTATCTCTATACTACACTACATGAAAAAATAGAGAGAGTGAAACCAAATTTTCCCTTTATCACACAAGTGCACTCTATCTATGCACATGTATACACATATATTGAAATATTCAGTATTGTTCTCATTTAAAGGTCTTTAAAACTACAGTTCCAAAAAATTTACTTACTTGCAAAGAAGTCTCATTTCTCTCTTCTTTGACTTCCTAGTAATGGATTGCAATTCTTTATTTAATACAATTGCTCTGAAGCAGTCATTACTTTGGGTGTGACAACAATTTTGAGGAGTATCTCCTGAATTGTTAGTCTTGTTCACATCTGCTCCACGAGTCAATAATAATAAAACACAGCTATACATGTTCTGACGAGCACCAATATGCCTAAATCACAGGAGGGTAAAATAAACCAATATTTATGGAGATAATAAACACATTAAAAGCCTATGAAATTATTGCCTTGTGAATTGTTTTCTCACCACCACTTTCAGGTATTATTTACATGAAATTTCTTATAAACTGAATTTATCATTAACAAATCAAAAACAACAAGTGTACAATTAAATTTTATTTACAACATTAATAATAATGAAATACTTATGTACAGGAGTAGTTATACAAAAGCTAATGAGCATCAAAAATTTCACTTCAAATTCTTATAGTTTTATTCAGTTTATAATTAAAATGTTTTAGATAAACACAATGTTTTATGGAAATACTACAGGATGCAATCTCAGAGTTACTTTGGAAATTCACTGAACAAACTCAAGGTTGTTTTACAACAATTGCGTAGGATGGAATTAGAAGTCTTGTTGTGAAATTGAGCATACTCAGGGAAAAATTTGAATTTTGATTTTAAAAGTATAGTAAGAAGTGAGACAACAAAATGTATGATATCTCCACAACTTAGCAAACAATTTCCAAATGGTTTTTGGAAGCTGAATGGTTTTTGCTTGGTAAAATTTTTGCAAGTTGATTCAAATATTAATCGAGTGCGGTCTGAGAGATCATTCATTTTCTGGTTTTATTTCTTTATTTCTAGAAGTTTTCTCTTTACAATATTATTACTACACTTTTCATACCTTCCAAAGAATTCATGAAGAATAAATTGTCTTATGTTCCAAGCATTGCCTAAAATTATGAAGTTCTCATGACAAATGACATAAGACCGAAATTTTCTTTGGCATATTTTTCACTTTTTAGTGGCTAATTTAATTGTCGGAGAAGTGCCATAAACAAATTTTCTTTGGCTTATTTATAACCAAGATAATTTTGAACATACTTGGAGAATATTTTCTAAATATATTTTGAAAATGAACACAAAATTTCTCATAACACCAACATTCACATTACATCATTCCTTGATGAAATAAATTAATTACAACTGATTAGTAATTTAATAAATTAAAACAATGATACTTACAGAGGAGTATCTCCATGGGTATTAGTACAATTTACTGGACACCCATAGTTCAGTAACATTTCAGTGATGTCAACACTTCCCGAGAAAGCAGACCAGTGGAGAGCGATGTTCTGTTCAGCATCGCGTATCAAAGGATCTGCTTTCTTGTCCAGTAAATACCTAGCAAAATTATTTATGAAAAAAATTATAAGCAAAACTACCCCTATTCATATCATCTAGTTTGAAAAAAAAAAATGAATACTCCTCAAGCTGTCAGCATTTTCATTTAAATCGCCAGACTCACCTAGCAACATTTGTGTGACAGTGTTCTGCAGCCCATACCAAAGGAGTCCACCCTCCGTCATCAACCACATCAATAAAAGTCTTCCCCACATTTGGAGTGGACAAAAGGTAATGACATGCTTCCAGATTTCCAGCTTTAGCTGCTAAATGAAGAGCTGTCATACCATCAGCACCCTAATGGAAATAAGTCTTTATATTACTTTCCAAGGACATGGATAGTTACTTCTGTAAGATTGAATTTGTTTTATACCTTCAAAGTAACACAAGCTCCAGCTTTAACTAAATATTTTACAATAGAATTATGTCCAGCCATTGCAGCAATCATTAATGGAGTATGTTGGTCACGGTCCATCATATCTGCCTGGGCACCAGCCTGGAGTAGAATATGAACTACTGTCAAATGATTACCAGTACAAGCTGCATGTAATGCTGTACCCATGGCATTGTCTCTGAACTGATGGTTAGGGTTCACCCCAGATGCTGTGAACCAACATTAAATCATGAAATCAGATCACAAATTAAGCCAAAGAATGTGAAAGAATTGCTTGGCTACAAAATGAATTTTCAACACTCTCACCTAATGCTGCCAATAATTTTTCAGTATTACCAGACTTGGCTGCATGGTACAAAGTTTTGGGGGTATACCTGCAATACACAACCAATATTTTTCTGAGAAAACAACCACTACAAAAGCATCTAAATTTAAATTTAAATTTCTCTACATCATGTTTTATCCATTTTCTCATACAGATGATTGACTATAACATAGCATTCTGAATGATTTTGAATGTTTAGGTTTCATCGAAGCTTAATGACACCAGAACATCACAGACCTGATTTATTTGCTTCATTTTTGACAAATCACTTTAAAGATTTAAAGAATGCACACATGCAGTTTGGCTTGTATTCTGGGATTTGGTTATTATGGTACACATGTTTGGTAAAACTGAAATTATACATCAGGAAACACATAAAACAGATCTTAGAGAGATAACATTTATTTTTTCCCTCCTCAAGATAAAACGACCCCATAAGCAATAATAAATTGAAAAAAGACAAGGTCACAACCAAACGTAGTTCTACTTGTGGTACTGTTGGGTAGTTTTTTTGGCATGCAATTCAGTTACATAATTTAAACGAATACAGTTAGACGATCATAGAAATTGAATTTGTAAAATACAGTAACATGGAGTACAGTACTACATAAAGATAGATACAGAATCATGTAACAAACACAATTGTTGACTCTTCACAAAATTCAAGTCTTCTGAGAACAGTTGGCCTAATCTACAATACAAATGCTGTTGTATTCCAAGAACACAGTGTCACTAAACAATTATAACAAATATCAGAGAACCTAAATTGTATTCCTCCATGGAACATTTCAACCAGGGGTAACAATCGCAAATAGCCAAAACTTTAACCTGCTGCCCTTCAGGGTCTCCCTAAAATCACTTAATGATCCTCTACAGGACCTTGGATCCCAATTTTTAAGAACCTATTACTGAAAATAAAGGAAATTTTGTACTACATTAAAAAAAGTAAAAAAGTTAAACAAAAATTCATATTAAAGAAAATTAATTGTATTCTACTATTGGTTCATCATAATCATCGCTGCTGTGTACTACCTATAATCTAAAAGAGTACTAATGGGCAGAATAGGACCAATTATTTATCAGATACTACGAATAACAAGGAGGGTTCAGAAAGAATAGAAGCTGCTGAGACCATGTCCTAGCACTCACAGCTTATGTAGAGCGAGGTTTTCAATATAATTTGAAGACTGAAGTGGTGCTGCTTGATCTTGCATCAGCCTATGACAAGGTCTGGATTCAAGGTTGTATCTACAAATTAATGAAATTGTAGATGTTGCTCTCAAATGCAAGAAAACTATACAATTCCCGATGGATATGTTAAGAGAATGGAAATTTACAGAAGAAATGAATAGGAAAGAAAGCAAACACAAGAGTTTTGACACATGGATTACAACTAGGATCAGTATTGGCACCAACTCCAATCTCTCCATATATGATATCCCAGTTTTAAAGTCACCAATATTTGCGTATACCAATGGCCTCACAATAGCAGTACAAGCAAAGTCTTTCAAGAAATTAGTTAACACTGATATGTTAACTCATGGAAAATACTATGAGTGGCATTTAATCTCAACCCAACAAAAACTACAAGTACAAAGATGCACTTAAAACACCGGAAAGAAAGAAATAGGCCAAGAAATTAGACACAAGAGAAGCCCTAAATACCTGAGAACAAAACTGGACCATACTCTAACATATAGGTTCCATTTGAAAGATGTACCTGTACATCTAGAACAAGTACCAATGTTAAAGTGTGTAGTGTCCACGCTGAGCTACCCCAGGTTGTTCCTGCTAGCGTTCCTATTATATTATTTCTTGTTTTTATTTTCTGTGGTGTGAGTGAGTACTGTGTCCTGGTTTGGACCAGGATCATCTACACAAAAATGATTGACATTCAATTCTAAAGAACCATGAGGATAATCTCGTCATCGTCATCGTGGTTATCGTCGTCATGGTTATCGTCGTCGTCATGGTTATCGCCGACGTCGTGGTTATCGCCATCGCACACACGCTCCAACTGACCAAAAAGCTGGCCATATTTAGAAGCTACGTATAAAACGCTACGAAAAGTGTAATTATGATTTTTGGAAATAACTAATCTAAGGTCAAAATTGGCAATTCCAAAATGACGTATTAAATATTTAAAAATAAAGCAGATTCCTGTGAAACAGTATATATTTTATGATTATTAATTTGATGTTAAAATTGAACAATTCAAAAAAGCGCATCTAATAATTAAAAATTAAGCGTATTCGGGTGGAACTGTGTATTTCAGGATTTTCACAGTTGCGGATTACACATTTGATGTCGAAATTAAAAATTCAAAATATCTGATAATTATTATTAAGGTTTGAGGCTAGAAGGGCGCTTCAACAGCTAAGGTCATTGGCGCCCATGTCAAATTATTTTAAGAGCAGAACGCACTGTAGCAGTGCCAAACTAAATCATGTTTTAAATGCAAAGTAAAAAGCGAGTAAAATTGAAAATAAACGTGTTCAATTATTAAAAAATGTTTGGCAGATAAGAGTCCGATAAACACTTCAAAATCTCCAACTAAAAACCAAATAATTGCCGTAATCCTCTTCTCTCTGTAAATGTTAGTCCCCCGTAAGAAGCTAAAAAGCTTGCTAAGAGAAGTTTCGTCATTTCCAAGTACCTGTGCTACAAAGTTAGCAAGGTGATGCCTACGGGGGCTATATCTTACCTTACAACACTTCAGGAGAGCATGCTCTACGGTAAGGTCCGTCTCGCAACAATCGCAAGGAGGAGGTGGGTCACCGCGGAGAATATATCCATGGAAGAAATGGCAGTATCCGATCAAAAGACGTGTCAGAATAATCTCTTTGCGCCTAGAGCCACGAGATGAGAAAGATGAAGTCTTTATGGAATCCTTGTTTCTCGTGAGATATATGGATAATGATTCTATATAGACGTAAAAGACATAATTGGTCTACGCCCCATAATCACCAGTAAAGGTGCGAAGGAGATTCAATGGTGATACACATCGCCTCTTCATATTTTGAATATGCTTTCGCCATGTTAAACTCTTGTCGAATGTCAGGCCGAATTATTATGGAGGTGACGAATTCTGCAGAAATGCATGCAGCTGGATTTAGAGGTGGAGAACTTAAATCCAATTGTATCGCTCCATTCTTGCAGTTTGTTGAGAACAAGTTGAAGCTGCTTCTCAATAACTTGCAAGCTCTTTGGGGAGCAGAATATGGCAAAGTTGTCAACGAAGAGCAATGCTTTCATAGGCTCTCGAATTATTAATGCGATATTATTGATAACGATGGCAGTGACACTTAGAATTGATCCCTGAGGAACGCCGTTTTCTAACTAGTGACTTGAGCAGAACATGTCACGAAGGCGGAAGAAAGATCTTGAAAGAAAATCTACTAGAAACAAATAGACCCGTCACCTAAGGACCCAAGAATGCGATATGCGAAGAATGCTTATCTGGTGTCATACGCTTTATCTATGTCAAAAGAAATTGCTACCAGGTGTGCGAAAGACATGGAAATATATGTGGCCACGGAGACTAGGTGGTCCATGCTACCACTCTGTGCAACTGTGGCCCACCTGTACTTTCAAAAACTACATTGAAAAGGTGTAAATATGTTCCTTTGTTCCAGGAGCCAGATCAGACGTGTGGGGGTTCTGTTCTTTCCTTCTTTAAGGATTGGAATGACAATGGCTTCACGTCAAATCCTTGGGGCCAGGAGAGTAGTGTACGGAGCTGGAGCTATGCTCGTAGTGAGAGGCAAATTCTTCAACTATATCTTCTGAAGAAGTGAAAAGATTTCCATTTACCAGAAGCCCTGTGACACCGCGAAGAAAGTCTTCCACCTATCTGTCGAACATTTCGCCACACTACTATAGCGGGCGTACCACAAGGATGATAAACTCTTCAGGATGCGGCCTTACTTTCCCGTATGGTCAATCTAGCTTTGGCCCGAGATCTTTTGTAATTTTCAGATTATCGATGGTAGGAAACTACTAAGCTATGCCAGTGCCCGTTTCCGGTCACGCCTCGCGGTGGCACAGCCGGCATTCCACAATGGCACGGGAGGATGTCGTGGGTGACCCGAGGACGAGACGGGATGGTAATTGAGGCCGCATGAAGAACGGCATCAATATCGCTTCGACAGTTTTCTGATATCCGTATTTTTTTCTTGAATGTTTCCCGCTCAGCTCGGTGGGTTAGCGAGCGAGGAGGAAGGGCAACGATTATATTGGGAATATCGAAATTGACCAGAATGGGGAAGTGGTCACTGCCATGCAGGCCGCCAAGGACAGTCCACTCAAAGACGGTAGAAAGATGAACTGCAGAGAGCCAAATCAAGAAAGTGAAACCACGGGAAAAGGTGTGCTTTCGACAGTATTCAGAAGAATTATGTTCCGGTTTTCAATAATATTGTGACGTCATGGATTCTCACAGCGACCACAGACGCAGAGCTTTCATATAACAAATATATTTATTAACAAGAAAACAAAACAAATATATACACTTAATAATCTACTTACACCCTAGCTCTGATAGACCTACTATCCCCTGATCGCGGGAGCGATCCAAACCCGATTGAAGATAGTTGTGATTGTGGCATTCGCCACTCCTACTTTTGAAGCGCGCACAAAGCCTAGCTTCCGTGACCGGATGTCACGCTGGGACACAAAGTCCGTTCTGGCGCACCAACGGCTGGTTTGCCTCGATCGCAGAAGCGATCTTATCCGATTGAGAATCGGCGTGAATCGTGGCACTCAACCACTCTTCACCTCGGAGCACGCACACAGCATCGCTCCCCCGTGACCGCAGTCACCCAAGGACCTAAAGTCCGCAGGCTTCGTCAACTAGTGACTCGAGCCTCGCGAGCCTGGCTCGCATATGCACCGTCGTGGCGCCACGTTTTGTGCACACGCACGAGGTTCTCCCACTGTCTCCAGAACCCACCCACTGGCTCCGTACACTCTGTTATATAGGCGAGGCCCACGTGACCTACTACGTCACGCCACCCCCTCGCTTGTTATAACAGTGAAAAGTTTCTACAGGCCGGATACTCCCAAAGCCTTGTGTCTCCCGTTTCCGCGTTCTTCCCTTTACGGAAAAACCCTTCTTCCTGTGGCGAGGCTAATCCTCTACCAAGCGTCCCCAAATAGATGCCATAAGGCACGCTGGCTAATACGTTACAATATTTGCAAGTACATAGTTTCTCAGACAGGTTCTTGTGCCACCCCAGGCGGGATTGTAGGCATTAAAGTCCTCCACAATAAGAAAAGGGGCGGGCAACTGAGAAAACACACCTTCACGTTCTTGTGACACGACTTGGCCATGAGGAATGCATATATTGCACACGGTTTACGAAAAGGACGGTAGGTGAATCCGAACGCATAAGATCTGAAAGTCTTATCTTCTTACGCTGACTTAACTTCTGAATCTCTCTTTCCTGGAGAAAGGTAGAACACTGGTTGTAGTTGGCTGGATTGGCCACTTTCACAATTGACACAGGGCGGTGGTGTAGCGCACAGATGTGCATCATGCACTGATACAACGCACTTCACGTACACCGTGCTTAAAGACACATCGTTGCTGGGTATGACCAAACCTTTCACACTTAAAACAATGCAAAGGATTTGGCACATATTGCCGCACGCTAAGATTGTGAAAACCGCAGATGATCCTTTCTGGGGGGGGGAGGGGTTGGGAGGTTGAACATCAGGATCAAAGAGAAGCGGGGATCTCTCTCCCGTTCTCCTTCCTTATGATCCCGAAAACCTCGGTGACACCTTCGCTCCTGAAAAAGAGCAGTTCCTTCTCACTCTCAGATGCAAAATCATCATGGTTGACCACTTCCTTGTAGAGGTTAAGGGTAGGGTGAGTGGTCTATTCCACCTGGAAGCCGGCAATCTGTTTAGTTTTGGATTTTTTTCGTTTTGCTTATCGGTAGAGAATGGTACCTCTGACGCATCACCGCTTGGAGCTTACCGAAACTGTCCTTCCGTGCTTTTCCTTCTTCCGTGCACGTCATCAAAAGGAAAGGTGGCATCTTTGGTTTATTTTCTTCCCTTATGAACAAACTAAGAAAGATGACCGGTGAAAGAAAGGAATCCTTGAGAGCCCTCCCTGTATCCCCCCGTCAGGACGTGAACCAACCCACCTCAACGGATCAAAATCACAGACCCATACGGTGGATCAAATATCTGAAAATTAAGCAGTTTCGTCTGAAAACGTAAGGTTTTAGGTGCACACATTTGATGCAAACATAGAGTTTAAATGGTAATGTTTATTTATTGAACATAATGACTTAAAACTTTTCAGACAAAGGATGGAGAAGGTTCAAACCCTCGGGAGGCAACAGTTTGTCGTTCGCTTGTCTTGTTAACTTAAAATCACTAACACATATCAGAAGATAATAAAAGACATCCATGTTTTTCGTACGCGAATATTTCCTGAAAAAATTTCCACAATAACGTCTGATATCTTAATTTCTGGCTACCTGTGCACCTTCCGATAAATGTCCAATTGGCAACGGAGAAGCTTCAATTATTCCGTACCCATGAATTAAAGTCACATGAACCGATGTCGGCATAGGGTACCACGGATACAGTTCTACGTATCATTTTGCAACCTGCAAAGGGGACAATTTAAATTTTTGAATAGTGACTCCCAGCCCTCTTGACATAGCTTGCAGCGGCACTTCGCTTTTTGCAAATTACCTCTCCATCCACTCCTCAAATGCTTGCTGTTGTTGCCTGGCGGTATTTCCGTCGTTGGTTGTACCTGGCCCGGGTTTGGATATATCGATTCACAAACCGTACGTAAGTTTGAAATAATCTTGCATTTTCGCTTTCCGTGATGTACAATTTTGTTTCTGATCTACGGAACGAGCTTGCCACTTTTTCTCCGAGTTATCATCGCATTTGTCGGATATGTGTAGCAACTATTCCATAATTTTTATCCATGCTTGTAGCGATGATGTACCAAAAGAAAGGTTGTCATTGAATTTTATTAACCACTGTTTCAATGTTATTAAAACCAATTGACTTGGACTTGCAGATGTAACAACGCATAGAGGATGCAGTATCAGTAATGGCTTTTTTTTTTTTTAACTTTCCAGCCAATCATCGTAAATACTAATTCGTATTTTATTTTTATGTTTTTATTGCCAACAACAAATTTCGAAGATACGACAGTAATGTTAATTTGATTTTCATTTTGTTGCTGGTCTTGGTGAATACTTTCTGCACCGGGAGAGCGCGCTGGCGCAGATAGTGGCACGCCGTATCGAGACAGGCCGGTTACGCACTCCAGCAGTTCAATGATAATTCAAAAAGGGGCAAAAAAGTGCAGCTGCAATTTGGCATACTGATACAGAACAGTTGGGGCTTTTAAGCAAGCTAAATTTCAAAGCGGTACTAAACGGTACAAAAGTTGTTTTGAATTATGGTCATTGGAACCAGTGCGGCCGTCGTGATTTTCGTCATCGCCGTCATGATAATCGAAATCGTCATGGAAATCGTCATGATTATCGTCATCAGAGCTGATGGGTGGACTGAGAAGCTTCAAAGCTCCCAGTTCCTGTCATAAGCATTTTCTTCACATTCATTCCCCTTCACAAAGGGGCAGTGAACTACTTGACCTCACCTTCAATAATCCTTCTTTTCACCACTTAGAGCCTGCAGTACTTGCTCATAGGTGGACATAAAGCTTGGGAAATCCTCTCTCCCATCCTAAGATATCCCTTGCCACACTTCTACTACAAGAAGAGTGAAGATTGGATCCAATAGCTACAGAAACCGAAGATGAAACCATCTGAACCTAGATGAAGGCAAAAGAGATCCTGTACTGACCTCATCATTAAGGGAACACTGTCCTCTCTATATCTGAACATTAGCTAGTGTATGGGAAGAATTCCAGACAGAAAATCAGGCTAAATGTGGAGCCTAAAGGTGGCAGCCCCACCACACATATTGCCCTCTGAAATGCTATTTACGAATGTAGAGCAAAATGCATTATTAAAAAGTCTCACATAAAGAAAAAACGGATTGATCAAATATTGACGACTATGGCTAGAATTAACAGGAAAGAAAAACTTGAAATAACAGAACAAATTAAAATTGGCATGTTAAGAGGACTGTCAATACAAGAGGAGAGTCGCACAAAGAGGTAGAACTTCAAAAAGAACAACAAATAAACATGAATATTGCTGTCATTCCTGAAACTAAAAAGAAATTAAAAGGCTCAGCTAAATAGGAGGTTTGTGTGTTATGAAAGAAATTTAATCCAAAGATTCAAAACTATGAGAGGATACACATTCTGGTAGCCATATACAGCTCAGAAGATGGGTGATTAGATGTTTCTGAAGAGTTCTATAAAACATTACAGAAAAGTGTGAATTCATAAACCTCAATGGTTATTAAACAGGAGACTTGAATGCTGTGTTGGCAATGCTCCCAGCAAAAATGTAATGGAGAAAGAACTAAATGGAAATGGCCACTTTTTCATAGATTTTGCCACTTTTACCTATTTCAAAATTAATAATACCTTTTCCCCCACACAAAGACATTCATAAACATACTTCACGTGACTGGGATGGAGTATATGGAACTTATTAGCATTAAAAAAACATTTCACTTACCTTGCTTGAACAGGAGAAACAACACCGGGTCCGGGATCCTTAACGTTACAGAGTACATTCAACAGTCGACCTAATTTATCTCTATCAATTGTGTTGGAAAGTCCTTCTGCAGTAACAGACCTTCCATTTGGCAAGGTGAGAGAAAATGATGGTATTGTAGGTACATCATCTAACTGCTCTTCTCTAGATGCAGGAGATCTTCCAAATGACATTTTAGCAGCAGGGCTATAGCAATTACCACATTATCATAATTATTTTACAGTCATAGCCTTACAGAAAAAGCTAGAAGAACCAAATATATAAAAACAGCAGCAAAATTACTATAACGTAATCTTCATTAATTTTACCTCCTTAAAATCTGATTCTATTTTTTTTTTTTTTTTTCAAATTACGGAATACTTATACAATCTCAGTCTTAAACTGATTTTCAGAGAGAATATGGAAGATTCTAATAGAGAATTTTCAGAACATTCATATTGTACATCACTCCCAAGAAAAAACAGAACAAAACTACTCTCAAGTACTACATTTCTTAACTACTGCAACACTTATTACAATAAACATCACAAAATTAAAATGGTATTTTCTTTCAACACAACATAACAAACCCAAAACATATATTTACACAAATTAAAGGAACATTAAAGAAGTTTCATCACGAGTTTCCGGTAAAATCATGACATATTACAAAATAAATTTTACTTACTACTTTTTTGGCGGTTTCTGCTGAGGAAGAAACACTGGATTCTTGTATGTTCCAAAGGTAAGAATGCATTCATTTTGAGGTGAATCAAGTCCACAATGTGGACAGAGTGATTTATCCTTCACCAGCAACTGGCATTCCTCATGATACAAGTGCATTGAAGCACACTGAAAAAATCTTCCCTTTAAAAACAAAAACCTATGATTAAAACATTTCAAACTCACTCTCAAAGATAAACAAATATTTCCAATGTCATAATTTTAACTCTGACACCATTAAAACAAATCAGCATATTCTCCCTGCATCTCACATTTATATGCATTCTCCTTCCTAGCAATGCAGGTAATATTATTCTTTTGTGTAAATGTTAATCCTTAATCCGTTGCCAATGCATAATTACTAACAAACAAAAAATTTCCGCCAATAAAAGGAACGAACAGATGAAAATAACAGGATTGCAAGTATTATACTTTTGACAAGATATTTAAGAATATTTCATTTTCTACACTCTCAGGACATCTCAATGACAAACTGATTAACATTTTTTATTACTTCTTGGGGCTAATACTAAAAGAAAGTCAACACATATGAAAGGGCAAATATCAATTACAGAAAAGCTCATTACTTCTAAAATGATTTTCCTATATATCAGAAATACAGTGCTTATATCACAGTTACCTGAGTGCAAAATACTCCACATCCAGGACAACAATTATGCCGCAACAGTCGATTGAGATGGACCTCACACAAAATCATGTAAGGCACTTTCACACTGGGTCGGCACATACGAACATCTATTGTCCCTATGGTATTGCTACAGCCAACAGTCCTGTTTTCTAAACTGTCCACAGCTTGGCAATACATCTCAGCTCCAGAAGCACCACTGTGTCCACGAGCTGTCACAAAAAGCTGTGATTTTGTCTGACAGCAACACAACGCTGCAGTCCCAGCCTACAAAAAAAGAATATTTTTGTAACAAAATTATCCCAAAATAAGAAAGCAACAAAAAACAAACTTTATTTAACCTATTTACATCCACTCTTCCCATAAGAGAACACAAGTCTGCGGTCATGGGATAAAAGTTCTCAAGTCAAAAATCATGGATCGGAGAAAACAAGGGTAAGATTATTAAGTATTGATTAATGGTATGAAGGTATATTTTTCAATGCTTCTTTGTCGTTAAGGAGGCAACATTTGCATTCAGTTGCTTTACAAAAAAAAATATAGATACTTCACTTGTAGTTTCAGTACTTAACCCAATTTCACCAACAATTGATGTAAGAACTTTTACCCCGTGACCATAGAAGTATTCAAAAACCTAGACACCAGAAAATTCAATCGATACATATTGTAGTGTTAAGGAGCCATAGAGAAATGCTTTACCAAAGGAATCTTACCAAAGGAATCTTACCAAAAATGGGTATAACTTGTACTTTGAAAACTTTTATAATACCATAAATTCATTAGTTGAAGTGAATGATTGGACATAAAATAGTATAGGTCAGATTTGAGGAAACTGAACTGAGTAGATGCTGCTACTGTATCAAAATGCTATTGCATTAAGTGATGAATAAAATAGAATTTCGTGATTTCATAAATTGATCATAAGTAGTCTCTCTCATGCAGTATAATGACTTCAATGTTGTGTCTATTGCATCAACACAGTTGTTGGGTGCATGTTGTGAGAAATCACAATGATCCAGTGGGCCCTTCTGATTAGCATGAAGGGCATGTTGTGACTAACTAACCAGCAGGTGTCATTTGTTCGAACAAACATGACTATCCTGAGCATTTGAAAGCAAGAATGTCAAATATCTCTTTGGAAGCTAAGAAGCCAAATACATTGGACTTATACTTTAATATGGTTGTTCAAAATGTATCTACAGATTGTGTACTAAGGACTCAAAGGAAGAAATAGATCAGCACAAATTTACATGAAAGATTGCTCACATCTTCAGAAATAGTCATGTTAATCTCTATAAAGGTGCCTTTTTTAGTGGGAAGTGTTGAAAAGAGGGCACCTTTTTTCAACAACACAAACATGTTTTTATAACAAAAGTCATCCTATTGCTAAAGGAAAGAGTCAAATATTTTGTGAACAATGCAAAAAGAATTACGTAATGCATTAAATGAAACTGAATCTTGTATGCTGATTATTTACATTATTTTACTAAAAATTAGTGTTTACTAAAGATTCTTAGATTAATGTAAAACTTTACTGAAAGGTATTTTTATTTTTCACCCACTGTTCCCACATGAAAACACTGCAAACTCAAATTCTAAGAACAAGTTTATTCAAGTTTCTATAAAAATGTTTTAACTGTACAGTACTAAATTTTAGTACTAAATGTTTTATTACATTTTATACTTATCATTGCAAAAAATTGAATTGGGTTTTAAAAGAATTAAAAAACAAACAAATTTGTTCATCGAAAGAAAGAAACATTCCACAAATACAAAAACTCCACAATTCATTCCTTTAAAGCTACAGAGATCTCTGTCGTATTTTTCACAAAATTATTTCAAATTTCTTCAAATTGAATTCACTGGATTCCTGAAGCTAATCAGTCCTAAAGCAATTGAGTAGTTGCAAGCAAGCAAACAAAAAAAACAAATACAATAAAAGGTGTCAAACTCACTCCAGAAGATATAGCAGTGGATTCAGGCTTTGAAGGTCCCTGATTGGCATCAGCAGGGCTCGGAGAAGGCACATGATTGTGACGACTGCGCTTCCCACTAATGTCTGTAGAAATTTAAATAGCATTAACTCAATAACAAATAAATTCACCAGGTCTCTAATAGACATTAAATTTTCCGACTAATAGTGTATAGGCAGGAATACCCACCATATCACATCACGAGTTTGTGATTTATGTTCACGCTGCAATTGAAAATAAACGGTCCAAAGTAACTTTACTGTTTTGAGAATTCTGAACCAAAATAACACAATTACTTTTCTACAAAAATTACTCTATAAAAAAACAAAATTACTTGTCAACTTCTTATCATTTTCATGCTAGACTTGGTTGATATTGGATTGAAAATAAAAGCAATATTCTTATAAAATTGCTTTAGTATTTATATTTTAATAAAAAAATTACGATAAATAATGTAGTTATTAATGTTACATCAGTTTTTAAATATGGATGGAATATTATGGATGGGAAAAGCCATATGAAGTTTGTGTTGTTTTGTTTTACAAATCATATGAGGTGCACCCAATTCAACTACAGCTATTTCTTTCAAGTAAAACAAAATCTCATCTCCTGATGTAATCAATGGCAATGCTAGCAAATAGGAGATCCAAATCAACAGCTTCCAGCAGCTCTAACAAACTCTGCACACCACACACATACATTCTTATGCTTCCATTCTCTCTGTATATCTTCAAAAGAAGAAGTTTATCTTCACTATACAATATTTGTCTTCTTGTAATCAAATTTTCTTTACAAGTAGTGTTTAAATGGATATGTTTGAGGTCCTTAACAACAAAGGCAATAATTCTCCATAATATTCACGTTGGCATTTCATATGTTCTGGGTGGGAAATTAAACTCTTTAAGTGAAAAAGTGAACACATGTACAATAAAAAAAAAAAAAATTTCATAATCAATTTCATAATAAATAATCACATTGTTTCATAAGTTTTCTTCCCAGAACAGATGATAACATGATGTTAAAAGTGACTGTCGAAGATTGAAGTACATTTGATCATATTTCATTTTTACCAATAGGAATGTGTCCTGACAACACAGTAATACTTTAGAACTGTTCTCACAAGAAACTGGAACTGAGTATTATAACACACTACAACTGAAACAGACAACACGAATTATGATTTGTTTTGGAATTGAAAGCAAATATTAATATTTGTATTTCTCCCTTTTAAGAAATTTAAAAAAATAAATGAATGGAAATCAAATGCAAACAAATTTTCATTGTTTAGAAATTAAAAATATTCTCACTCGTTGCCCAGAGACAATTTTTTTTTCTCTGAGAAAGTCTTCTCAAAATATACATGTGATGAAACACACGAGATAAAAAGACCCAAGAAATATGCAGAGGCACATAGTTAATGCACGGTCCATGTCTACGCTACAAGGTATGAATATGAAAATCTATAAAAAGTTGAATAAAAAAAAACAAGAAATACACCAACCTTCAATATCATCTTCCATGCTGGGCTGCATTTTCCTTTTGTGAACAGCTGTTTGACAAGCTTCAGCTACAACAGGGCTGTCACTTCGCCCTGCACCACCTTAAAAACACAGGATCACAAATAATCCGTTTACCTTTTGAATCTGCCATCTATTAATACACAAATGTGCTTTTGCATGTCAACTTACCATGATTTCCTTTTTCAGCTAAATGGCTGGTCACTGGAACACTATTCTTTTCTGTTTTGGAATAAAGATTTTTTTTCTTAGGTTCAGGCTCTCTTTTAATAGCAACTGGTTCCTTCTGAAGAACAGTTGTTCTTGTGTTTCTGGTAGATATTGTTCTCCCTGGAGCCATATTTAACGATGAATTACTTTCTTGCCAAGGTCTTTCACGAACTGATCTTCGTCCAATTTTACTCCTTTTTGCTGGTCCACTTGTGAAAGAATAACGTAAACCTTTGAATGGTTTATAGCGTCTCTTCCCAGTTTTTGTGTATGCTGCAGGTGCATTGGCTGGCACAGGTGACTTTGAAGTCGGCTTGCAACCAGGTTCTTGCTTAATATTATCAGAAGCACTACCACTAGAACTGAACTCTGAACTACTCCTAGTTTTTCCCAATGGTTTTGTAGGTGTATCAACATTTGATTGAGTTTCAGATTTTGATGTTGACGACGATGGAAGCAATCCCACTTGAGACAACAATCTGGGTGATTTTGGCAAGTTAGCAGGTTTTCCTTTCTCTCCTACTGTTGAAGATCTAGATTTTCCAGTTTGAGCTCTTTCTACAGAGCTCAGCCTAGGAGACCGAAATGAAGAAACTTTTAAATTTCTACTTGAGCAAGACTTTTCTTCACTATGGCTAAGGTTGCTGAATGATTTCTCTTTTCGAGCAATTGCACTCTGCAATACAGACTCACGAGGTGAATCCTTAGAGCGACGTCTTGCTGATCGTTTGACGATAGCAAGTTCTGGTGTTTCTGGCAGTACTTTCTGACTACGTAACGATCGCTTTCCAGGTGTAACTGAAGTCTCTCTGGGTTGATCTTCAGTTTTTGATTTCAATGGTGAATTTTCATCCATGATACTTGATTCAATTTTCAACTTTTTGAGACTCTGAGGATTTTCCACCACTTCACAATTTGAGTTTAATGTTATTAGAATACATGGAACATTTCCATCACTCTCTCTCACCAATAATGGAGCAATATCAGAACAGTCTTTATCTTGCACATCATTACTTCCTTTTTTACTAGAAGTATTTAGTAAGTCAGGAGGTTTCTCACTAGCATTATCTTCACCAACAACTTCAGACTTTGTATCACAATTTGACACTGTATCCGATTCCTGGCAAGATTCTTTAACAGCAGACTCACTGTTATCCTGAGTAATTTCATTGGTACTGCTACTTTCGGCATTAACACATTTTGTTACTTTTTCTTTCTTAACCTCAGAGATAAACGATTTATTAAATTCACTTTTCATTTCCCCAAGAATAGCTTCAATAAGCTCATTATTGACTTTCCCCCTAAAACTATCATCTGAATCATTTTTAATGCTGCTTCTGCTATCATCATCTTGATCCAGATCACTCATGATAACACCAAATGGTAAATATTAACAAAATAAATAAGACTATTAAAAAAGCTCTGATTTCCTGGCAACATAAGCACTACAACACACACATACACACAGTATCAGGGTTCACTCCAAGGGTACAAAGTAAGTAGATATTTCTGGAACATAAGACCAAGGAAGCATAATATTAGTAAAGTTCAAATTTTACATGTACACAAAGGTTTAACTTCACTTTACTCAGATGAGGCAGAGGAATGGTTGAGCAAAATTAAAATTGGACATACCAACCACAAGATGAGAATAATTAGTCTCTACCACTAGTGCAATTATTAACTGTAAAGTCATTATGTCAAAACTGTGAAAAATTAACTGTTCTTTTTCACACTATTGCACAATATACTATATACTTCACACACATTTCTTGTAAAGAAAAATTTTATGTAAATCAAATGTAACAAATAATACTAAAACATCAGAAATACTTCAATTCATTTTCATAGTTTTCAACATAAGCTCTATAAGCTGGTTAAAGAGCATACTTATAAAAAATTATAAAATAAATAAATTATGAATGATATAATATATAAAGAAAAGTTAATTATTAATATGTTAAAAGAAATGCTTCTTTAAACATAACCGCATTTTCCAAAGTGCCAGACAGCGGTATATTATGGTCGAGTTAAATATTAATGAATGGGTGTATGCAAACACTTTTCAAAAACTAATACTTTTTTGACGTCTCACCCGCGCTCTTTGCCCAGTTTCAGGTTAAAACAATGACGAAACTCGCCACGAAATCATAATTTAACACCTAACCTACATCAATAAAATTATTCACACAATTTTACTGCGTGGCGTGAGCTGCACACCGAAACAAACAACATAGTTCTCAAAAGACGAAAATCAGCTGTAGAATACGAAGTAATTACCGTTAGCAACATGTCTTTAAAAGTTCCTCAATTTCAAACAAGCTGCATTCTCGCGGTAACTCGCTGTGCCATCAACAGCCATATTGATTATTTTGTCAGAGAGCGCGGAGGAGTTTTGTATAAATAGAATCAGTCTACCAACTACAAGTAAAAAGTACTAGAAGAAGAAATGTTTCGACAACATAATTTTGTTTGTAAATTATTTACTAAATGCCTCATTTACAAGCTTCACAATATTTTCAAATCCATTGCCTATCAATCTGGAAAGAGTCGGATACGAGTACTCTGCGAGTACTACTCACACAATGTACTGCATTATCATTTGCTTTATCAATGCCTTGCCATTACAAGCCTTATCACAACTGGCATACACCATAATTTTGCATATCAAAGGCATTAATTCCAGATTATGTGTATTATGCCCGCTGAACTACGAATATCTTAATTGTGGTTAAAAATGAATCTCTTTCGAATACGAGTCGGATGCCTTATGTCGCCCTGACCGAGCAGTTTACGTACACGTTATGCAGTAGGCATACGCTGCAATTATACTAAGAAGGATCTTACGAAATAGCATAGTTTTTGTGATAATTATATAATATATATATATATTATATATATATATATATATATAATATATATTTATATATATAAAGGCAGGATTTTGTGCAGGGTGCAAATGTCTCAGTCACGTTTCTGAAGGTTTCATGTTAAGAAACTATAAGCGAAGACTTGGTTCGTTCTTTCTGTCAATTAATATCGCGTTCTCGTATCTAATATTAACATAGCCTACCATTAATATCTCATTTTCCACATTTTTGGAGGCATTTCTTTTCTTTGAAAGCCCATGATAGACTAATATTAGATTATACTAAAAACAATTTAATATTTAATTTCATTCCACGCCGTTATTTAATCTTAAACAACCGAAGGAATTATATTACCCAACGAGAGAGTCTCCGCCGTCCTTTGCGGCAAGAATAATTGTTACTAGTAAATTAGTCTTTCTACTTCTCCCGAGATATCAGTAGGGTAACGAGAACAATTCGAGTTGCAAATTAGCATTTGGTGGTTGATGTCTTCTTGAATCATATTATGGTTTTTATTTCGCTACGTTTATACTAATCGTTCGCCTCCATTAAAGTTACTCAGCACCTAGGTAGACAGGCACAAATTCGTAAAATGTGAAAAACTTACCACCACATAAATACTACGCAAATACAATTTGGGTTCACAATGAATGCAAATGTACAATGAAGTTTAGTTCCCTAATGCCTTTGGTGTGCCTAATCTTGATTCGTATTTTGTTTAGAAGGACTACGTAGCATTGAACTGTATTTACATTTGGTATTACGACTAAATTCACATTTTCGACATTGTAAACAATTTTATGACAAAATAGGAAACGCGATTCTGTATCGTTACACCTCTCGAACAGCTTCACATTAAATGCACGTTATTTTTTGTATGTCAGCTTAATTTGTTGTACAAAAAAAAATGATAAGTTAGTAGATAGAGGCTGACAAGACCTGACAAGAGTATTTCCTAGAAATACGCTTAGATTTATTAAAGAAGTAACACATTTTTTAGATTTTTATTCTTGATTATCAGGATCCTACAGTACACATTGCAACACAGGCTCTCCTCGATTTATTTCTCGCCAAGGGCATTCCCCTGTTTCCCGCTCGGTTGACCGGTCACCGACCCTGGACCCTACCGATCAACCTTGCAACGTAGCAAGTCGCCCACACCTTTTTGTTCCACAATCTACCCACGCGATCGCTTGCTTGTGACGTCAGAAAATGCACTTCGTCCTCTTTCCTTTTGAAAATTAATGGGTGCCTAATATTTACTACCAGAAAACAACAATCAACTGACGATATTTGTAATTAAATTACTTATGTAGCCACCTCTTTAGAAAATATTTCTGTTGGGATGATAGACAGTTTGTTGCAATGTCACCTTTTTTACGAAGCAGAACTCTTAGCATACAAGAATCACTACAAAAATCAGTTCCCTTGAAAATTAAGATACGATTAGTAATCCAAAAATAAATGTATTATACTTGCGAAGTTACTTACTAATAAAATTAGTTGTGATATTTCAATATTTCACACCTTATATATATATATATATATATATATATATATATATATATGTATATATATATGTATATATATATATGTATATATATATGTATATATATATATGTATATATATATATATGTATATATATATATATGTATGTATATATATATGGAGCCCCTGCCCCGAAATTGATCAAATAAAAATTTCCGCGGTGAGCTTAAAATGCTAAAAAAAAGTATGGTTTGGTGTTTAATAAATTCACTTGTTAAATACAATAAATAATACATATGAATTTTAGTAGAACCTATTTTAATGTTAGCGTCATTTGATTGCATTAATTTTTCTGTTTCATAGATATGCTACATACCGTACATAAAGTAAATGTGTATCTCATTATCATAAAGTAAATGTAAATCTCATTATCTGAAACACACATGTTTTGGAATATGATTACTATACAATAAAGTTACTTTTTGTCAACTATTTGCAATATTTTATTATCTTTTACTAATTTCTTTTTCCAATGTTTACTTTTTTCCCCATCAGTTCCAACATCGGGGCCCCTTGACTTGCGGGGTCCCGGGCAATCCCCTAGTGTGCCCATGCCCAGCGCCGGCATTGGTGCCTATTTCTGGAGATTAAAAAAATACTTTCAACTCAAATACCTTTAGTTGAAATTTGCCCCTATTTATGCGCCAGGATTAATGGCAATGGATTAAGTAATCTATTTTATCGCTTTTTTTTACATAAAACATTTTATTATAGCTTATTAACCATTATCGAAAGGAGGCTATTTTATTTCGAAATATTCATAATATCTGAAATGGATTGATCGTGAACTGTAGCTATAGATCATGGTATCTACTACATTAAATCTTTGACCCCGATGAATAAGCCTATGAGTCAATCTTTTGCTGAAAATGAGATAAGTAGTATAATACTGGATTCCCCTGATCATTCTTTACATTCGCCTTAGTGTACGAATATAATCAGATCAGTTCAGTTCTATCTGGTTGCTGAATAATGAATGACACGTGTGTATTTACAAACATAACGCAAATTTCATAAAAATATAACTCACGTCAAAAAGACTGAGTGGTGAAAGTCGGATTAGTAGCTCCCCCAAAATTATTTAAAATAAATGATTTTCAAATAAGTTAAGTTGTCTGTTTATTTTCTCTAGAAGATTGGACAAGTAATCACACGATAAGTATGTTTATCTCCTGGAAAACTTGTGTTTCACGAGTTGTCAGCTCTTTCATTGGAACCAAAGAATGATGTCACGAAGGAGGTTACTAATAATTGATCTTTTTACCGTAATTTTTTGCATCACTGTCGAATAACACATTCAGAATACAGTGGAATTGGATAAAATGAACCTGTCACAAAACCTCAGAGATTAACTTAATGCGATCTAGAAATTCGAAGGGCACACATGAGTACATATAGCAAATATTATCGCAACGCTCCTTTATACAAAGAGCGTTAGATTTATTTCTGCCAGGAGGCCTTTCTCCTTCTCTTCAATCCTAAACCTTTAAAGACATTTCTCTCAAAAGCAGCTTTCTGTCAATTAACATCTATTTCACAATCACAACTGTGATAGACAATCGTCATATTAGTTAAATTGAAGTGCATTTTTATGCCGACAGGTGAAAGAGAAAATGTAAAATGGATTAAAAAATTAATAGTTATTATTAGAATGAATAGGCTAAGTAGCACTATGACAGAAATTTCTAAGGTCATGGTCGAAGGAAAGTAGTAGGAATTTCAGTAGTATTTTATCAAATGTCAGACATTTGTAACTGATTATGAGCCTAAATATCCGATTGTGAGCGCTTTCCCATCAAACGTGAAAATCATTTTTAGTAATTGATCACGAGTAATAGCTGAGGCGAAGCTGGTAGATGCCAAAAATCGCGAAATAAAAAGAAAATAACAATTGTCAACAAGAACAGACTATCCAGAACACGTTTTCATAGATAATCAGTACTGTTAGTATTTTCGGTTGAAAATAGTGGTGCACTGCTCCCTAAAGGCCGTTTCGGTTCTGATTTTTGGGGCTCGTACTCTGGGGGGAGGGGGGGACATTGCGTCTAATACCACAAAATCAAACGTTCTGGTTTTGGAAAATGTACGAGTGCATCCCTGGTGCAGATGACTGTAAAGAAAATTGTCGTCAGAAGGCCAGTCGCCTAAACGAAAACCTTTTTACGCGGATTTTGTTTATGGGCCTATTTGGTTGAGAACTGGGGTTGCTGGAGGGGGTCTGCAGACATGAAACCGTTTTAGAGCTGCCCCTCTGGAGAAAAAATCCTTCAAATTTACATCAAATAAAAATCATGAAATCTTTTTAAAATATTTTATTTATGTTAATATACTAATTAAATACAAACTCTTTAACACAGTAGACTATTTGATTGATAAATATTAAATTTTTGATTAACAATTATTAATTTTGTGCCTTTTTTCGAATATCTTATGAACATTATTCCGGGACGCGGCCCTCACATGAATGAAGCCTTCGAAGCAACTGCTGATTTTGCTGTATGTAAATCCGGCCCTGTTATTGATACTGCAGAGACGGCCATTTAGTCAACGTATCCTCTGAGAGAACGGCCGTAAGTAAATTGGGGACCAAATAATCCCTTCATTGCTTCTCGCGAAACTTACTTTCTAATTTTACACGTAAATTGCTGAGCAAACCAATCCAGGTAAGGAAAGGGACTGATTGAGCAGGTAAGCGCGTTAAGGGAACCGCCCCAGCCGCGCTGATGCACAGTTTTTCCTGGTTCCTCATTGAAAATCTTCCAGACTCCCTTCTATATAGAAATAAAAAGCAACGGAAGCACTACAGGAGTATCCAAATTTCATGTTCACCGTTATAGAATTATCGCAGAAAAAAAGTAGATA